TAAGATTGTAAGAGATGGGTAATTGGGTAAGCCGCTAAAATAACTTATTAATATATATATATATATATATATATATATATATATATATATATTAAATATAGTTATATGCGGGGCGGGGCGGGGCGGGGCCCCTAGGATATGTATATTGAACCCTTACCCGCCCCGTGACCCTCGACGGGTACAAAATTTGTATCCATGTCTGCCCCAACGATATAACAAGTGTTCCCATATCCGTTATTAATGGGGCGGGACGGGGCGGGGTCCCGGCGGGGCGGTAAAAATTGACATCCCTAACTATTGGGATTTTTTTCTCTTCTCGATTTGTATATGCATGTATGTGTGGATGATATACATACATATGTATCATAATAGGGTCACTCTATTCATTACAGCAAGTCATGTCCGGAATTAATATTGATAGCGGGTCCATCAACGTAATTGTGTTAAAAAATTCAATAGTGATTGACCGGGATTCATATATATAGATAGGGTTTCTAGAAATTAAAATTCTTTTGTCTCAATTTGTATATGTATGTACGTGTATACACATGTATCGTAATAGGGCCACCCTATCCACTACAGCAAATCATGAAAATGAGAAGTTACTACATAATTTTAGAATCACTAATTTCAAATCAATCATCGTTAAACACACAAGTAATTGTGTCAAAAATATATAAATTTTTTAAAAAACTTTTTACTTATGTGTCCAATGATAATTAACTGAGACTAATAATCCGGAATCACCGCAAAAGTATTATTGAGATTGTTTTCTCAATTTGTATATGCATATATGTATGGGTGCATTCATATATTAGGGTTTTTAGAAATGGGAAATTTTTTATCAATTTGCATATGCATGTATGTGTGGGTATCCATACATAAGCATCATAATGCCACTTTATTTATTGTTGCAAGTCATGGATGTACTATTGGGAATATTTTTCTCAATTTGTACATGCATGTATGTGTGGGTGTACATGCCATATATTAGGGTTTCCAGAAATGGATTATGGCATAATATTCCATTGAGCAATTTATTTAAAAAGTCAATGATTTCTTGAGAGAGAGAGAGAAGTTTGTTTGACAGCCGGCCACTAACACAAATGCTGCATGACATCACCCATTTGATAAGGTTGAGCCTCAAGGGTGAGTTGTCATAAAACTGCATAAATATCATTATTTACAAGTTGTTTATATATATATATATATATATATTTATAACTTTTAGTAGTAAATTTTTTATCACCAAAGGTTGGAATTTAGGAGTTAAGGGAGTATTTTTTTTTTGTTAGTGTATTTTAGCAAAATAAAAGTACGAAACAAATACTTTTGAAAAATAATTATAGCAACAATTTAAATTATTGCTTTTCACAGTGTAGAAAAAGCACTGTTCAAAAAAATAATAATGATACACTCTAAAATGACATTTTTAACTAGTCATTTAATTTTTCAAACTTGTAATACTTTTTACTAAATATGTTTTTATATTTTTGCTTACAAAAATTTGTAACAAATACACGTTACCAAACACGACTTCTAAAGAATATCGAACACACTTCAAAACAAAAACATTACTTCTGGGTCAAAACAAAAATAGCAAATATTGTAATTGCCAAACGGATCCTAAATGAGTTCAAGAGATTATAAGGTTTCTGTAGAAATAAATACCGAATCTTACGTGGTTTTGTCCACGTGAAATAATTTTATTACCTAACCCTTTATCATCGATCTTTTCTCTCCCAATTTTTCTTTTTTCTCTCTCTTCTTCTTTTTTCTCCATCCTCTTCTCTGTATCTGGTTCTTCACCAATTCTTCTTATACATCCCTTCTCTTGATATGCACATATCCAAAGTATTGTAGAAACAAGATCCAAAATTCTTTATTCTCGCTCCTTTTTCAAGATCACCTACTTTTCACTATTCATAAATCTTCCAAGAATAAATCTTTCCAATCTAGATGAAAAATATGGAAAAGATTTTTTTTTTTTTTTTTTTTTGGTAAGTAAATATCCATACAAGAGTTGCCATTACAAATCACATTAAACTCTTACAGAATAAATAAATAAATAAAATAAAATAAAAACTAACACAGAGAAGAGAAATAATGAATCTTCTCAAAGTTTTTATTTGATTTTTATGATACAAAATCTGAAGGAAAGAAACAACAGTTGTAGCTTTTCATTTTTTATTTTTTATTTTTTATTTACTTTTTTTGTTTTGTTTTGGTTTTGTGCTTCTGTATTTGCAAAACATGAAGAAATTTAGATTTTTTCATTTTATCTTCAATTTTGCGAAATCAAAAAGAGAGAATTAGAGGCAGAAAGGAGAGAGAAGGGAAGAAGTAGGAGTTATGTTTTTAAAAAAATAATCTGACATGGCTGAGCCACGTTAAGTTTAACTTTTTATTCTGTTGTTTGATTCGGTTCTCTTATCATTTCCCTAACCCATATCATTTCAATAAAGAAAAACTAAATACCATGAAGAAAACAAGATAGGGAGAATGAAATATATTTCCATTACTATGAATAGTATTGAAATAAATACAGGAAGAAAAAAGAGAGAGAAGGAAATATATTGCAATTAATATGAATAGTCTTTAAACAATGTCTACAATAAATTATTTCCTGACTAAAATCGACTAAATTCGATAGACACATCGTATCTGGAACCCATTGGTATGGTGCGTATATCACGCCCAAATCAATTTCGGCTTAAATAACAGCACCCACAAAAATATTTTTGTATCAGTGTCATTAGCTGTGTCTGTAGTACTCGTGGTGTGTATGTTTCTTTGGCATGAAATGTGTCTGTGTGTGCATATATATAAATATATATATAAATTTTCATACATTAATTAATTTAGAAAGTGTAAATAAAAAGAATTTGCATTGGAGGAGTACTAATATGTCCAAATGCAATGTAAATGTTCACTTTTTGCTTCATTAGTGGAATTACTTTGTATGATATTTCTTGTGTTGATATGACACTACAAGTACAGCTATGACTGTCTCCAACGTATGGATCCAATTATCCAAATTCAGCATATTGTTCCTTCACATGTAATAATAATAATAATAATAATAATAATAATAATAATAATAGAAAGGGTAGAGTACAGCCATACTACTTGAGGTTTGATAAAAGAACATTCAGAGAAAATTTACTTATTTTTTAGACAAAAATACTCTCCTAAAGGTTCAAAAATGAATAAAGACATCCCTTTGCATGAAAAATTGACCAAATTACCCTTTGAATCGTTTAGGAGACTTTTTTAACTTTATAATTTAATAAGTGGACCAATCTACCCTCATGAATAATTTATGCATAAAAAAAAGTAAAAAAAAAAAAAAATTATATTGTTCACTTTTTTTTTTTTACTTTATAAATGTCCCAATTTCTTAAAAATGTAGACGTCTAAAATGATTTTTTGATTCAATACATATATTTCAAATAAATTATATTTTGTTAGTAGTTCTTTTCTTTTTCTTTTTTATTTTTAAATTAAGATGTTTAATTCTTTCATCTAAAAAAATCAAACCAATTTCTTTTCCTTAAAAATAAAAAATCTAGTACCAGTATAACTTTTTGCATCTTAAATTATATATCAAATATTATGCATTTCCCAATATGAAAGAAAACAGGTACCGGTATAACTTTATGCATTTTAACTTTATGCATGCCTTTGTTTTTTTTTTTTTCCCCTTTGTTTTATTATTATTTTATTTTTTCCCTTTTATGTTGGAAAATGCATAATATTTGATATATAATTTAAGATCCATAAAGTTATACTGATATCATATTTTTTATTTTTAAGAAAAAGAGATTGGTTTAATATTTTTAGATGATAGAATTAAGCATCTTAATTTAAAAATAAAAAAGAAAAAGAAAAGAAGTAATAACAAAATATAATTTATTTGAAATATATGTATTGGATCAAAAAATCATTTTAGACGTCTACATTTGTAAGTGAACAATATAAAATTTTTTTTTTTTTTGTTACTTTTTTTTTTATGCGTAAATTGTTCATGAGGTAAATTGGTTCAATTTATTAAATTGTAAAGTTAACAAAGTCTCATAAACTGTCAAAGGGTAATTTGGTCAATTTGTCATGTAAAGGGGGTGTTTTTGTCCATTTTTGAACTTTTAGGGGGTGTCTTTGTCCAAAAAATAGGTAAGTTTCATTTGAGTGTCCTTTTGTCAAATCTCAAGGGGTGTAACTGTACTTTACCTTAATAGAAAAGTTCAAATTTGATAAAATTACTTGAATTTCTGTATATGATTTGTAAACTTAGAGACCTATATTTGACTGTATATGATTTTTAGCATAAAATAGATTTGAAGCAGTAATCCCTTATCTTTATATATTTAGAATATTCAAATAGATTTGAATTTTATTTGTCTGATTCAAACTTGCTCAAGATTTCAAAATATATACATGTATATTAAATTCATTTGGCTTGAATAATCAAAGCATGCTAGCCCCCCAATCTGGAAGAAAAACCTAATCTATAATAAAGAAGTAGCTAGGAAAAAAATATATTATTTTAACTCAGAAACTTATATATAAACACACAAAAATACATACATATATATATATATATTAAAATTATTAACCTCCAAATTAATAAAAATATCACAATTTATATGCCGATTACACAATCTTAAGGATACTCAAATGTCACTAATTCCAAACAGAAAACAACCTTTTCGTATGAGTCAACACTTTGACTAACTCTTTTAGAAAGAAAAAAAACGTAATAATTTGAGAGTATTTTTTTAAGATTTTTCATTTAAGATTTAATGGATTTATACCTAATTACCGCTTTATGATTGCGTGGCAGTATTTTATTGGTTGAGTTCGTGTCTAAAAGATCTTCACAAATTTGTCAAATTAGCAGCGAGCAATCCATTTGTGTGGTAAATTAGAACAAAACACGAGGGTAATTCAGGAAAAGAAAATTGAGAGGAGTATAAAGCATTCAGCTTTCCTCATTCAACCAAAACGTGCTTTTTTCAATGTGTGTATCATTATACATTTCTCAACGCGACAACCAGCAAACAAGGTCAAAAACCAGTGCTCCTTCAACACACTCTCTCTCTAGATCTCTCTCTCTAAATATATATTACATACATATATATATATATCGTTCATGGCCGCCAACAAGAAGATTAAATCAAATACTGATTCGCTCCTCTGCTATTTACGACTCAATCCTCTTCCCTAACTTCGTAGCCTTTCACTTTCTCTCTCTCTAAACATCTTACTCATTCAAAGTCCTCGGTTTGCGTGCACGTTTTCCATTGCTCTTAAATCGTCTTCTTCAACTCTCTTCTCACTCTAAACTTTCATTTTGCGGCTTTCTCTCCCTGGAATCAGCTCCAACGAATCTGATTTTGTGTGGTGGATAACTCAGGAAGCGAAATGGCGAGCAAATGGAGGAAAGCGAAGATCGCGCTTGGTCTGAATCTGTGTGTGTATGTGCCGGGGACTGTGGACGACGAGTCGCCTCCATCCGAGAGGTTATCCGACGCCGCTTTGCTTTCGCCGTCGTATACCCCGGCGGCGCCGACCACGCCGACGCCGTCGTCTCGTGGTTTGCGGTTATCGAAAAGTATGAGCCGGTCATCTAAGGTTTGTATTGTTAGTTTTAAAGCCTTCTATTCTATTGTTATTGAACTTGTTTATGAATTTTATGGTGGTTTTCAATTTCTGCACTGTTTGGAAGCTGAGAAAAAGTGGGAAAAATAATAATTTTTTTAATCGTTTATTTTGCTGAAAATACAACTGCTCTAGCAAGGTTTTGGATCTATAATTGCTCCTCACAACTTGTGCTATTTCTACTATTTTTTCCCCTGAACCATTCATTATTTCTCACCGTTTGGTTTCTATGAAAACAGAACTAACATTTTGAAGTACGGTATTGAAGCTTATCCTCCTTATGCATACACATACAATCAAATATAATATATATATATATATATATATATATATATATATATATATATATATATATATTGTGCTTCTCCGAAATTTTTTTTATTTTATTTTTTTTAAAAAAATGAATTGATTAAGGCTAAAGACTTGATTGAGCTTTGTTTAATGGATCTTTCTGTTTCCGTCAGTGTCTTCAATAACAATTAATTCCAGCTTCCAAATCGTAGCAGCTTTCTACTTCCTACATTTCTTGGCAATCAGACTGGCCGTTTAGGATTTCGAAGTATTGGTGTAGCGGATTTTACATTATTTCTAGAATTTTTTTCCCTGTTGTTTAGTAATTCACAATTTATTCTCTTTTCATCTGCTTCTGCTAAAATTGCATGAAATATTTTGATGATATTTTTTTTGGCTTGAATATCTATATCTCAAATTAATTTCTATTGAAGTCCTGTTCCTGCAAGTGGCTTTACATCAGATTAGTGCATTAGTTACTGGATGCCTTGTTGTTTTCCACTCTTTGGCTTGTGGGGTTAATTCACAAGTCCCTTTCCCGACCATTATCATTTTACTTGAATAGTTAAAGAAGACTAAATGATAACTTTCCTTTTTCCTCTTTCCTTTGGAGCAAAAGTAGCTTGTTTGGTGGCCACATCTGTTGACCATTAATTTGCAAGTTTTCTAGCTGTCAAACTTCATCAAAGAAGCTAAATAGGATAGGGGAGAGAAAATTCTAGCAGCAAGTTTTGTCAAACTTCATTAAAGAAGCTAAATAGGATAGGGGAGAGAAAATTCTAGCAGCAAGCTTTGATAGATGAGTTATCTCCTTGGTTGTTTTAAAACTTTTATTCTTCGTATTATTCTGTAACTGATTGATTAATCTTCAAAGTCACAAGTTGATTTTGCTTTTATCCCTAATATGACCTTCATACGTTAAAGACCAAACGTTGACCTTTTGTTCAATTCCCTGCAGATATCAACTGCAAGTAACGAACAAATGTAATTTGTGTACATAATTTTCGTATGGAATAAAATTGCCTATTTTGCAGATGGAGATATATAACTACCGGTATCCACATCCATTTACATAAAATTGGCGAACAACCCTTTTACTGTACTTTCTTTGATTGAGCTTATTGTTTTAAATTCCAAATAGTGGGATTAATTTAAACTTGAGTGAGTTGAGCCAAAGGGGAGTTTCGTTCTGTATTTTAAGATCTGGTGCCTAATTAAAAACCCTACTATGAGTGGTCTTCTCTCCTTTTTATCTATCTTGGGTACTTGACACAACAGAGCAAAGTATATCTAATTGAAAGAGATTGGTTGTGAAGAGTACTCTTTGCTGGTGATGGCCACGAATAAGCACCAAGAAAAATAAGTTCTCTCACTTCTCTCTCTAAAGAGATGGGCTCTCTTTCTCTCTCGTTCTTTATGGTTGTATGGATAGATGGAGTGTTGTTTCATGCATCTTAATATGCTTTTACGAAATAATTTGTTTTGCTTCGATGTTGACATGCAACCCTTTGTTGGTTGCAAAAATGATCTCTGTGGATCAATTAACAAAACTACCAGCTCAATTTTGTGATAATGCTTATAATGATTTAGTCTCGATGGAATCACAAAAATTCTAGGTGGTAAGAGATTCAGAGGAATAAATTGAATAAAGAAAGAATGTGAAGAGAAATACTCCTGCTAGAATTAAATGAAAAGAAGGATTAAGAATTAAATATATCATTTACATATAAAACTTATCATCACTTAATCTGGACGTGGATGCTTTGTTCTAGTCTCTTGCATAGCGTGCATCCTCCGTCTTTGGTTTACATCTACACCTAATAATTTAGGAGTTTTTATTCATCCCAGAAATGATATATTCTCATGATAAGTGCATTAAAGTGCTGAAATTCACCGCAGGAAACCTCTTTAATGTTTAATCTGCTTTTGAAGTCTCTTGCATGGCGTGCATCCTCCATCTTTGGTTTACATCTACACCTAATAATTTAGGAGTTTTTATTCATCTCAAAAATGATATATTCTCATATGATAAGTGCATTAAAGTGCTGAAATTCACAGCAGGAGACCTCTTTAATGTTTAATCTGCTTTTGTATCAAATAATATCATTAGAAATAAGTACGATAATTCGATGACAAAAATTAATTTGAATTGTAGTAAAATATGCATCCACTCAGTTTATTATATAAGAACCTGTTTCTTGTCTCCTTTTCATAGGAATAGTGTAACAATTGTCTCTCGACCAATACTACAGTCCTACTGTTTGAATGACCACAATATATAAATTCATGTGGAATTTCAGTGCTTATAGATTTTTCAATTTCGGAGTGAGATTAATAATGTGGAATCCTCTATTCTTTTCAAGTTTAGTGCAATGTCAAGTAATTATTAACTATGTGATGTAGTTAAAAACATGTGGTAAGATCAGTAGGCCTTTATGTATATTCAGATAGTGCCCATAGCCCATTAGACTCTGTTTCACATTTTGAATAATTGGTTATATCTATGCCACTATTCTTTGGTCTAGTGCTGGTGATTTCTTTTTTCCTGATAAATAGTGTTACTGATTTCAGATAGTGCCCATAGCCCATTAGACTCTGTTTCTCATTTTGAATAATTGGTTATATATATGCCACTATTCATTGGTCTAGTGCTGGTGATTTTTATTTTTATGTTTTTTCTTTCTGATAAATAGTGTTACTGATTTCTGATAGCGCCCATAGCCCATTAGACTCAGTTTCACATTTTGAATAGTTGTTTATATGTGTAGCACTATTCATTGGTCTAGTGTTTGTGATTTGTTTTCTTTTTTCTTTTTTTTTTTAATAGATAATGTTGCTGATTTCAGATAGTGTCCATAGCCCATTAGACTCGGTTTCACGTTTTGAATAATTGCTTTTATTTATGCCACTATTCATTGATCTGGTGTTGATGATTTCAGATATTGTATCTAGTTGCGGAGATGATGCTCTTATATATATATATATATATATACCAGCTAATTTGCATGTGTTTAGTTTAGTGCTATTACTCATCTTGAATAGGTCTTATATCTTCTCCTCGTTTTGATTGTAGTTTATGCTTTCTAACTGGTGTTTGATTTGAACTTTCAGAAGATCTGCTCGATATGTTTGGCCACAATGAAACGTGGGGATGGCCATGCCATATTTACTGCAGAATGCTCGCATTCCTTCCATTTCCATTGTATTGCTTCAAATGTGAAACATGGAAATCAAATTTGCCCGGTTTGCAGAGCAAAGTGGAAAGAAATTCCCTTGCAGGGTCCTAGTTTGGATCCTCCTCTTGGAAGGGCAAGAATCAATCCTGTAGATTGGCCCCAAAATAATGCCATGATGACTGTAATTCGCCGACTGCCTCCCCCTTGTCCAAATGCCAATCGGCACACCGCGCCACTGCTTCAAGCTCCTGAACCGGCTGTCTTCAATGATGATGAATCCCTGGATCATCAACCCAATTCTGCTGAGAGAAGCACTCCTGAAAAGAATGCTGTGGATAGTAACTCTCATAGGACAATACAGATTAAAACATACCCACATGTTCCAGAAGTCCCACAGTTCACTTCTTGTGATAACTTTAATGTTCTGGTCCATCTTAAAGCTCCCATTTCAATTTCAGGACAAAATCTCAACATAAACCAGGCCAACTTGCCACAAATTTCTCAAACTCCCCGTGCACCAGTCGACCTTGTCACAGTGCTTGACATCAGTGGTAGCATGGCAGGTACCAAGCTTGCATTGCTAAAGCGAGCCATGGGGTTTGTGATTCAAAATCTCGGCCCCAATGACAGGATGTCAGTTATTGCATTCTCTTCAACAGCCCGACGCATCTTCCCCCTCCGTAGAATGACTGACGCAGGACGACAGCAGGCATTGCAAGCTGTAAACTCATTGGTCGCAAATGGAGGAACAAATATTGCTGAAGGCTTGAGAAAGGGTGCGAAGGTAATGGAAGACCGAAGGGAAAAGAACCCAGTTGCCAGTATAATACTGTTGTCTGATGGACAGGACACATATACCGTCAGTGGTCCAGTTGGCAACCAAAATCAACCAAATTACCAGTTGCTCCTTCCTTTATCCATTCATAGCACTGACAGTGCAGGATTTAAGATTCCTGTGCATGCTTTTGGGTTTGGCACTGATCATGATGCTTCATCGATGCATTCAATTTCGGAGATTTCTGGAGGAACCTTTTCTTTTATTGAGACTGAAGCTGTGATTCAGGATGCATTTGCACAGTGTATTGGGGGGCTTTTGAGTGTTGTGGTCAAGGAATTGCAAGTGGTTATTGAGTGTGTGCACCCAAGCCTCCACCTTGGTTCTCTAAAAGCAGGAAGTTACTCAAACCGTGTGATGGAAGATGGGCGTATGGGATTTATTGATGTTGGAGATTTGTATGCTGACGAGGAGAGGGATTTTCTGGTTTCAGTTAATGTCCCAGCAGAGTCTTCAAGCAAAGAGACATCATTGTTCAAGGTGAGATTAGTCTACAGTGACCCGTTAACTAAAGAAAATGTGACTTTGGAAAGTGATGAAGTTAGGATCAAGAGACCTGAATTAGCTGGACAAGAGGTGGTGTCAGTGGAAGTGGACAGGCACCGCAACAGGTTTCAAGCAGCCGAGGCAATGGCACAAGCACGAACCGCAGCTGAGCAGGGAGACCTGGCTGGTGCAGTTTCTACGCTTGAATGTTGCCGAAGAGTGTTGTCAGAAACCGTGTCAGCTAAATCTCGTGACCGGCTCTGTGTTGCATTGGATGCTGAGCTCAAGGAGATGCAAGAGAGGATGGCAAGCAGGCATGTGTACGAGGCATCAGGAAGGGCATATATACTGTCAGGACTGAGCTCACACTCATGGCAGAGAGCAACTGCACGAGGTGACTCCACAGACGGTTCAAGTCTTGTTCAGTCCTATCAAACCCCATCGATGGCTGAGATGCTCACTCGGTCTCAGGCCACATTATTGGGTAGTCCATCAGCTCAGAGGCTTGCCCGACCTGTATGGTCATTTGCATCGCAACCAAAACCAAGGTAAATGTTTTGAGACTGTTGTGGAGAGTTCGTCTCCAAACCGTAACTATATATTTCAATACCTATTTTCTTTTTCCTTTTTTCTTTTTTTTTTTTTGTTTGGGATTGGGGATAAATTGGAGAGTTAAGAAGAAGATTTTGGGTTGTCAATATTGTTCCTGTCTTAAATATGTAGAGTAATAAAGTCGGGTCAGTGCAGAAGGATATATATTTTGGAGGAAAAGGTAAAGGAATGGTAGGTAGGGTTCTCACAACTTTTTTGTATTGCTTTTCCTTGTGTTGTTGTTGGGGGTGTACATAAGGAGAAATGGTTTCCATCTCAGAGATGTGGGTATAAGTTTGTAATTGTGGGGATTGGATGAACTTTTTACCTAATATATAAGATTACCTGCAATTTGATTCTTTTCACAATGTTCTGTTTTGACTTATTATCTATATATCTTCATTTGATTCAGCCCAATTCTCTCTCTCTCTCTCTCTCTCACACACACACACACAGTTCTCTTTCTTTGGTTGGGAAATGAAACCAGGTCAATCCATCAGAATAAGGATTTGTGTATCATTGGGATTGTGAAATTGGTAAAGCCACCATGCCTTCTAAGAATTGCGCATATTTTGAGATTGCCTTTTATTTTTGGCATTGTTCGGCCCAATAGCGTGATGTCCCACGCGTTGGGGTTGGGGAAGAGATTGTTGGCACATATATGCATGGACGTCTTCTAATTGTGTACATGCGTTTTAAAAATTGTGAGCACAATGTGCAAAACCGACAGTATCTGTACAGCGGGACGGATTGGGACAGATGGTATTAGAGTCAATCTCGTCCACTAGGCTGGTAAGAGTTACACTAGTGACCTCAAGTCCCAAAAAGGGTGACTATGACGTTTGACACCACCGTTATAAATCGATGTATATTAATGTGTAACAGGAAATAGATCATTCTATACCTATTATACCTCATGAATTCTCAAAAGTATTCTCACTTTTAACAAAAACTTAATTAGGTAGTGATATCTTTACCAAATTGTAAGTTCAAAGAAAAGCATGATGCAAATTGTAGTTTAATCATTCACTTGGTTTCTATCTAAAATACACTTTAGTAGAGGACCCCTCTGTGTTCACTTTTTCTAACATATGGTGGACCATGGTTTAAAGCTTCAAACAAAGTCGTAGGTAGGCACCTTTCCATATTCAACTTGTTCTCTCTATTTTATCTCTCTAACCCACATATTTTTATACCTCACCAATTTTGATTACTTGTATTTACAATATGCTTGTCAACTTGAAAATCAAAGGTACACGAAAAGAGTCACAGTCCCAAACTCGTCCCATTGTCACTCCTACACAAAAAGTCACTCCTACGCAAAAAGTCACTGCCCCAAACTCGTCCCAGTGCCATTATTGTGCAAAACCAGCCGCGTAAAAACCCGTGCTGACATACATAAATTTTCGAACGGTTCAAAATGCCTCCAGTTCGTTTCATACTTCAAATGTGCACCTCTTGATACGAAATTGGTAAATATAATGGGAAAATATAGAAAAAATTCTCTATTTCTTCGGCTAACTCTTAAATTTTTGGTGATCTTGACAATTTATGGTTCTAGAAAACAATGAATAAATTTTGATGATCTTCACAATTTGATGTTCCAGAAAACAAATATAATTTCATTTGCATCTTGTTTCATTAATCTCTGTTCAGACCATTCAACCAAAAACCTGTTTTATGCATACCACAGTTAATTCAACTTATTTTGAGCATGTTGTAAGCAAGATTGCCATGGGACAAATACATATTACAACACAGACTAAAATGCAGCAAAACGCCAGATGCTCGTCTCAAACCATATCAGAAATTCGTTTCTCTTCGTAGAGTCATAGTTGTGAGATGAAAAACAATATTACATTTATGAAGTTAAATGAAAATCCGAAACCCTATTAACCTGGATATTAGCTTGACTTGCCTTCATCGGGCCTAGGAACTTTCTTATACTCGTAATTGTTTATGTCAACCTTCTTTTGCAAATCCTGTGACAGAGTAACATGCATGTAAGCTACTCAGCCTTCAAATAAAATTTCATTTCAGAAGTAAGGCTGTCGTTGCTTTTTGTTTACCTCTAGCTCCTCCTCTAATGAAATCTTTTTCGGCTTATAAGCTTCCACGGGTCCTGTTCTAGACAGTGCTTTTTTAGTCTCAATGATCTCCCATGCCTGATCATCTTTCACCTTTTCAATATCCTTGCTGAACTACAAATTGCCACCGCAGTTTATAAGATAAGGAGAAGATGAAACAGATGATAATGATGAGACGATGACAGCAACAATGATGTTTACAAGATACTAGAGATTCTGCAACAATGACTGAAACAAGTTAAGTTCTTATACGTCCTAACAATTACCTATTTTAGATTATAAAGCGTACACAAAGGATATAAACAAATTAGTGCATCATAACAGATAAATCAATAATCAGGATGTATTGAGCCTAAGTAACAGACACACATATGTTTGAGCCAGCTCCATATGGACCCTTGTGCTAAAGTTTGGTTTTGTTTGACGATCTCATCCCTAGTCCATCAAGACCAATTACAAGGACAAATAGTTGGCAATGATATATGTTTTTTGTGAATGGAAAATTTTTTCCCCCAATTTAAGGTTGAAGTTTCAAGAATGGGCAATGTTAAAATAGGGGATTAACTTAAACAAGGTAGAATATTTCAGGCCTCTCTGAGGATAAACCCATGCCAATTGCATCACTCTCCAGAAGAACAAACACTACCAGCATTGCAGCAATGCAACATCTTAGGATTGAATGGAAAATAAAAGTAAATAAAAATAATAAAATTCTATACCTGCATAAAAGACCGTTGTTTAAAACATCCAGTTCCTTTAACGTGAAGATCCAAAAAAAGATTCCAACCTTTCACAATCTTGTGAGGAAGGGAGGAAGGTTTGAGATATGACACAAGAAGTAAGTTTGCGATCTAGTTAGAATCTGATGATGAGACACCTAACCGGGGTATTCCTCCCCCATACCATACCTGTAAAACTACAGGTACAAGGCAGGATTCCATCACAAGTCCCTGGTAAACCCACATAAAGACTTTACTAGTAAATTAGGGAAGTGTAACAGTATGCAGGAGGAATCAAAATCCAACTACTAGAAATGTGTCCTCTCTAATAATCAGAAAAAGTATAGGTCACTGTGCATGTCAGGAATTGAGCTACCTCATCGCAGGATTTGCACCAGCTGAAATCTAGACACCACCAAAGTCCATCAATATTTTTTAGGGTTAATTTCACTGACACCCCCTCAGGTTTGGCCAAATATCACATTGAAACATCTTTCAAAAATTACTATCACTTAAGTCCAATTTGACTTTTCCGTCACTAACATCGTTAAAAATATGCAAAAAGACAATTTTGCCCCTAACTTTTTTAATACTTCATATTCCAAAATATCAACAATATAAAATGTCTATTTTACCCTCATTAATTACTCCCACCTACCCAAACCCCTCTTTCTCTAACGCGCACAGCCTTTTCCTTCTTCTGCAACTTCTTCACCTCGGGTCATGTCTATCTGTCAAAGCTAGAGGTACTGCTTTTACAACCAGATCCACCACCCCAAAAGAAAGAAAAAGTGAGATGGAACATTGAAGGGATTTTCTGTACAAATTCCTTGATTAATTAGTCTTCTTTTAAGATGGTGTTTATCAATTTACGCTCTTCATGTTTTCCTTATTGAATGATATAAGGTGATATTTCTCAGCTTATCGTTATAGAGTATAGAGGAACTTGTTCAAAGTCCCTCACCGCCCCTTTCTTTACTATTTGATTCTACCATGAAATTTAACTTAACCAAAAAACAAAAGATGGAGCAATACAGATCAAGAAATAATGAAATGTGTCTCCATGGTACAAATCTCACAATTATCACTCAAATGCCAATTCTTATATTGTCTAAACTCAACCCTATTTCATGGAGTTGACAAAATGAAGGGGCAGACACAAAGCATTGTATTCCTACTCTAACCTAGAATTTGTTGAAATTCACTTCAACTACAATCAATTTCTCATCAGAGTATTTCCTTAAACTATTTTGTCAATTAAGAGTTGATGAGAATTAGGGGAATACATTTCCTAAGTTTATATAAGGAATTCAATTAATAATAAAGCAAAATTTAAAACATGTAATCCTATGTCAAAATCTTTGAATCTTTTCTATAAATTGTTGTTTGAATCATTTTAAGTTTCTCCATAGTTGACTCTTTTAACATGATCTGGTTTCCTCTTGTCTCGCATAATCAATATTGGCAACAAAGTCACCAACAACAACATCCTCTGTTTATGGAGTTTTGTGGCACTGGTGGTGGGAGGGAGAAGAGGACAAGATATATATATATATATATATATATGTATATAAGAAGAAATAAAGATATATAATTTAATTTGTAAATTTATAAAATAATTAGGGATATTTTAGTCTTTTATCTAATTTTTTAGGTTAAAGAGTTCTTTTGACAAAGTCAAAGGGTATTTAAGTCATTTTACATCTTTGATACCATGTGCAGGTAACGGTTGGGGTGTGAGTGAAAAACGAAACAAACGTTTGTAATATGAGTGATAGTAATTTTCGAAAAGTGTTTCAATGTGATATTTGGCCAAACCCGAGGGGGTGTCAGTGAAATTAACCCTATTTTTCAAATATTCATAAAGAAGCCAATAACCTTTTGATTCTAAATCCGAATATAGTACATCAATAAGAAAAAGGATGCAAGTCCTTTGATCTTTAGCTTTCAAATTGATGACAACGATAACAAAAGTCCCCTTCTAAAGCCTTTGTTGACAGCTACAAGCTTCATTGACTACACGACCAATGCATATTCCCAGTCCTACAAGAGAATAACACATAAATATGTTCACTGTTCATGAACCTGACCTAGTTAAGTTCCTCACATCCATGGCCCAACTCATTTTGTAATTGAGCTCAAGATACTTGAGCTTAGCTCAACTGATAAGTAAATAGCACAAAAAGGGTAACTGAAAGAGCCCCATCAACAGTTTCTTTTGCCAGACTGAGCACTTTACAAACGTAACACAAACTACTCTGACAGGTAATTATTGTTTAAACATCATGGCCATAATAAAATATAAAGATGTATTCACATGGAAGGAAGCATTATTTCCATGACCTAAACTAGCATCCTTAAATGGACGAGGTAGAAAACACGTTGCAATGACCACTGTACAATGCCTGCACATGTAAAGACTTTTCTTGCTAAATTGTATCTTCAGCTCCAAGATTGTCGAGGAATGGTGCACTAGCTGCGCAGCCTACTCACACTACAGTTAAACATGGAATGTTTACTGTTTGATGCATTGTTTTACTTAGTGGTCAGAATTACAGTAAACATTCTACAAGGTGGAGAAGTTGTCAAAAATCAATATACCAATTACATTGTTGATACAGTAGAGATGATTAATCTTACTGGGGAGAATAAAAGGCAGTGCTTCATTTATCAAAAAAAAAAAATCTGCTTCCATATTACATATGCATCTTAAAAAATATAACACTGAAATTGCAACAGGAAGTCTAAATAACAATAGCACTAACCTCCCTTGCAGGAGATGACCGAGGCCAAGCGCCCCAATCACAGTGAGTGAAATCATAGGAAGCCCGTATCTAATAAATGGTGATTTCCTCCCCCATCGTTTGAACCCTGGAGCCGAATTCTGAACCTTAGCAGTGGTAGTAGCTGGGAGGTTATTAATTTTCTCAGGCTGATTCATTGCCATCCCAGTGACTGTCATTGCTACATACCATAAGACAACCTGCATAATCACAATATTGTATGTGTGTGGGTAATGGTTATCAAAGATAGGCAACCAGTGTTATCAAAGGCTACGGCTGTAAATGAACCGAGCTTTCGACAAATAGCTCGAATTCGGCTTGATAATAGCTTGGCTCGTGTTCATTTAACCAAACTCAAACAATTTTCTAAGCTAGTTTTGTAAACAAACCAAACTGAAACAACCTTGGGCTCGGCTCGTTAGTTTCGTGAACATGTTTATGATCAATTTGTTCGTGAACATACCCATTTATGTGTGTGTGTATATATATACTATATATTATACAATCAATTTAATTTTCAGAATAGTCAGGCTCAATTTCCCATATACATAAATTTACCCTAAACAAAATTTTATACCATTAACCCAACTCTATTAGGCCAAGTCTCGTAAACTTAAAAAGCCCTAGCCCAAAGTCCATAATAATAATGTTTAACCAAACCCTAACCTATTCTTTCCAAGTTGTTGTCCCCAATTACACAAACGCGACTACTCTGTGGCAAGGCTCTGTCACTCTCTCTCTCTCTCTATAACTATAGTCTTCTTCTCTCTAGAAATCTCTTCCTACAAAATCTAACTATAGCCAACTAATTACACCATTGTAAATGTTTATGTATATAACCAAATGAAGTATATATATATATATATATATATATATATATATAAACATTTATATATGAGTATGAAACAGACCACGTATATATGTAGAGAGAATGATCGTAAGTACCTGATAAAGATCGCGTTATTGGAAGCTAGGGTTTTTAGAAGAGGTAGAGAGATGTAGAGCGAGGAGAGAGAATATTCAAACTTCATACATACTCTGTACAGGTTAGTGAGAGAGAGTGCCGGTGTAAAAGAGAGAGGGTTGAGAAAGAGCGTTCGGTCAAAATGTGCATTTTAGAATATAAAATGGATGGTTGGATCAGTTGGTACTTCTGTCTCGTGCTTGAATCTTGATCGTTGGTTCAGAATTTTGTCAAACGCTATTTTTATTATGCTCAACTTACTCTGCTTTGCTGGGAATGCTTGGGATTTGGATTTGGAAACAGGATTTGTACGGTTTAGAATCACAAAATTACAAATTGAATATGATAATTATAGGATCTCAAATACCTTTTTAATTACTTTTCAAATCCAGTTTAAAATGTCATTTTACAGGATTTAACTAGATAAATATTCATTAATTATATACTTCCTTAATTAACCTTTCAACATTTATTTATTATTATGATTATTATTATTAATTTTTTTCTTCTTTTTTTTTCTTTTTTTACTTCAGTATCTTATATTACGTTTAACATATTTATCCTCAAAATTATGAAACTTTGAGTAAGACATGGATTCCTCAAAATTACCAAAAATCTACCACTCAATTTTATAACCAAAACTCATACTCCAATCCTTCATAATTTACACCAATTTTTTTTTTTTGTTTAGTATACTCCAGTATCTTAAACTGCGTTTAATAAATTGATCTACAACCTATTCTTGTGTTTGAAAAATCTATCCTCCCTAATTCACACCCCTTGAAAAATCTATCCTCCCTAATTCACACCCCTTTTTTTATTTGGTATACTCTGACAGATTGATCTATCACAATACAGAATTGTATAACCAAGAGTTATCTACCACAATACAGAATTGTATAACTAAAAGTCTGCGTTTAAGAATTGATCCACCACTTTGAAATTTTTTTTTTACTTATAACCAAAAGTCATGAAATCCAATACTTTAGTATTTGTGTACTTAAAAATTTAAACAAATAAAGCAGAATTTTATAAGTAAAAATCATATTATCCAATTCTTCAAAATTCACAGATAAGTCATATATATATATATATATATATATATATATATATATATATAAGCCAATATTGTCAATATTATCTTTAATAATTGTTTTTTTTTTATTTTAAAATAAATTTCATGTTTCAAGTTCCATCACGTAATCATTCTCGTTGTTTGTCTTCTTCTTGCTTTAACTTTGGAGTATATATTGCAATAAAATAAATATTTCATTTATTATTTAAATAAGGGTAAAAATGGTATTATATTATTTTTATCCAAAATCCCATTTTAAATCCAATTTGTTCCAAACATATAAATAGAATTTCATTTTAAATATTTACCCAAAAAAAAAACAGATATAACACATCTAATATAAATATAAATATTTATTTATATATTTATTAAATAAAATACTCATTCAATTTTAATTAATTTAAAATTTTTATATTAAAGGACTTACATATATAAAACACAAACGAACACCGTCTAATATAAATATAAATTTTTATTTATATAATTATTAAATAAAATAATCATAGAACTTTAACTAATTTAAAATTTTTATATTAAAATTTCATCAATTAGAAGATGACTCTATCCGAAAAGAAATATATATATTGTATTATATTATATGATATTATTATCCTACCTTGTCGTTACACTTATGTTTTCCTAGTGTTGATTAGGTGTTAAAAACTACAGTGTTCAACCAATAAAATAGAGATCAATGTGTTCGACCATCAATAAGGTTTAACTAATTAAAATAGGCCCTGGTTGCTCAAACTTCTTGTTTGTCTGCTTCAAAGGCAGGGATTTATTTGCAAGGGCCTTGTACTCACAATTTGATATCCATCTTCATCAAGAATATGGTCTTCACCTAAGTCACACAATATTTCTCGTTCGCTTCAAGCGCGCACTTCATTACCATCACTATTTGTGACTTAATTTTGTTGTTTTCACGTTTTCGATCTCGCTCCCGTTATTTTATGTGAGTTAGATCCTAACGCATTTCAACAAGATGCATGAATGTGACTGCATTGCTTTCAATACCCCGACTAACGCCGACAAAGGGACCATATAAACCGTATAAAAAGAACAGAAATTGGCCGCTAAAAAGTACGAAACCAAGAAGCCAGAAGCAAAAAGAAAGAACTGAACTACAATCTATGTCAAAACATAATTACAGCTCTAAAAAAAAGCTTCTCAACTATTTGCAGCTTTTCCAAATTTCACTTTGTTTTGAGGATTCAAAATTCAGTCACCCAACTCTGGTACCACTTTCGTGATCTTGTTTTCCATTCAGAAGTGTTGTTTTTGATGGTGGCGAGACTTTGGAATTGCAGGCCTTGATGCTTTCGTGTCACAGGACTTTGGCTTTAGTCCAAGACCAAACCTCCTACAGAAGTTGTTCCAACTCCCCTTGGTCTTCACAATCTTCTCGAGCTCTTCTTTCATACTCAAGCACTCTCTTTCAAGGTCGGAAACTCTTTCTTTCATGTCATCAACTGTGACAATGTGATCTTCTGTGCAGCAGCCAGTTTGGCCAGAGTGGTCATTTCTAGGGAGTGCAAGGTTCCCACTTTGATTTTGGGAGTTCTCAAGGTTACCAGAGACAAAAAAACAACCAGCTAAAGATGTGCGCAGACGAAGCTGTTCAAAGAATACAACCTGGACAATAACTCGGACTGGTAGCCTATCATTTTGTGCCGCGTGGGTGCTGGCTTCCAATGAAAACTTCTGGCAACTCATGAGCCTGCAGAGTTGTTCCCTCTCAGAGTCTGTGAGCCAAGGATGTGCCTGAAGTTCACAACACATTAGCAATTCCAAGGAAAGGTTGAATTTAGCAATTTAGGGTGCAAGTATAAATACTTCAATGGGAAGATGACTTCTTCTGCCTACCAAGAACGATGATTCCTAAAATAGAAGGCAATATGTTGCACTTTTAGGTATACAATAACAATGTAAAATTAAACATGTACTCATATAATTGACAAACAGAAACCATTTTCATGGTCAATTGAAGCTTCTCTTTCTTGAACTTGATTCATCTGCACAAGTTCACCCCATACATGTGTGCGTGTGCACATGCCCCATGGACCATGGTCACAAACTAGTAGCAGGTCGCTTCACCAAACCCTTGATTAAATAATTCTAGAGAGAGATGTAGAAGAGAAATAGGAAAGGGTGCCCTGTTCCATCGAAGAGAAACAAGGCAATGTCAGCAACTTCCCCTCATTCCCTCCTCCACAACCCGAGCATCACCATGACCACACAAATCAATCCTTTGATACAAAGAGATTCTTTTAATTATTAGGGATAGCACCCATTGGTGAGAAATTTAGAGAGAGTACACTTAGATTGTTTGGATACATACATTGGAGAACCTGGGATTAGTTACAATAGAAGGTAAGAGATGGAGAGGACGACCAAAGATAGCATGGAATGAGATTATTAAATATGACTTTAAAAGGCTAAATATAGTAAGCGAAATGGTGTCTAATAGGAAAGATTGGAGAGAAGAACTCATGTGGCCGACCCCATTCATATGGATTTAGTGCAAGGATGACAATGATGATGATGAGTTTCTTTTAGTTATTATTATATTAAATTGAAAATCTCTAATGGAAGGTACCATTTTTACCTTGAGGTATATATCAATTGCACGATAAATTCCATCATCTAGTGGCCTGGCAGAATTAGGGATTACAGCAGCGAGTGATTGGAATTTTGGTAACTTCAAATTAACATCGGGTGCCACCTCAGCCAGATAGCCGTCAACTAGATTAGCCACCATTGACATTGGGGTCAGTGAGTAGGATTGTTCCATCAACTGCCCTTCATCTACCATGATATTTGAGGTAGACTCAGTTGCATCCTGGCCAACCAGCATGAAGTGATCAAGCATCCGCTGAACGGAGTCAATATCATACAGGGTCTCCACTGAGTAGCCCATATTTGGTATCAGGAGATCCTCCAGAACTGCTTCATCCAACTGGGCCCCAATCTGTTTTTCCAAATTCTCTCGACACGATGGGCTTGCATGTAAGATCATGGATGTTCGGAGAAGCCTAAGCAAGATCTTGGTTGATGCAACTCCCTTTTGATCAGGTAGTAACTCCACTATCTCTTCAAGAAGAGTCCGTTGATCTGCTTCAGATGAAGCAGAAGGAATTGATCCTGAGGCAGCACGATTTTCATTCTGAAAGCTCGATGATTGCCTGCCCGTCAAGGGGAGATACTTCTTTGCATAGAACATAAGGGACCCAGCAATTCTCTCTGGCTTCATGCCTCTTGAACCAACATCCAGGATCAGCCTTTTATAAAGAGGTAATCTGAGGAAGGAGACGTCCTCGTACCACCAATCCTGAGTCACAGGAAATGGCTTGGCAGCTGTTCGTATCTCATTCCATAAGACAGTGTCAACTGAGCTATGCCTTGAACTGCGCCCTGACACCGGCCAGCTGAATAAACTTGGATCTACACAGGCTTTTGTTGCAAGGGAATTGATGCATCGAGAAACAATATGAAGCTCTTCTGCATGTGGAAGAACCTCCTCACAAGTTTCAAGAGCTTTAATAGTATCTGCCCAGCTGCCAAAGACTTCATTTAAGAGACTTTCTGTTTGTGTAATGAGGTTTCCTTCTCCATAATTTTCATTCATTTGAAGATATTCAGCCGCACACCTAAGACTAACAACATTGAGTGCAGTAAGTTCTATTCCAACACCATAACAGAACTTGGCTACAAGCAAAAAAGCTTTAGCTCCTCCAGGTATGTCGTGAAGTTGCAACACACATTTTTTCTCATCCTCGGATTTTTTCTTGTCCTGACTAGAAAATTCTCCAACAAGATTTTCTAATACCTTGCTTTTGGACAGCAATGGGAACTGCAAGACATGCCAAACAAAGCATATAAGTATACACACAGGCAAGCTCTACAATAGTTTTAAGAAGCAGAGGAGGAGGAGAAGCCTTTTTGTCCACCTACGGAACAGGCTGAGGCATATGGCGCCATTACAAATTTGTTTATTATAATAAGAAAAATTATGTTATGCACAAACGGCAGACATAGTTATTACCTGTGTTTTTCCATTC